GTTGCTGATGCCAGTAAGATACCCATACTTTTATACAGTGTTCCAGGCAACACAGGCATTGACCTTGACCCAGAAGTCATCATAACCTTGTCCTCTCACCCAAATATAATTGGACTAAAGGACAGTGGGGGAGATGTAAGTATTCTGTACAAAATAAGGATTGAAATGGATTCAAATACAAAATGAGAATCTCTTCTTCGAATTGTTGGCAATCAAAATTTGTTTTCCTCTTTATGTTGTTTAAAAAATGAAAACAATATAAATTAATGGGTTACAGATGATGGAAATTTTGTATTTAGACCCAGAATCATTCCTAATAAATCTGTGAAGAAAAATATAACTTTTGATTGGCAATATTGCAAATCAGATAAGGATATTCATGTTATGCATTAGTTTCTTTGTTGACGTACAATATCTATAGAGTTAGAATTTTGCCTATCAGATGTTTAGCACATTAGCATCTATTTCTTAAAAAAATTAAATCTTAGACTAAGACAAAAAGATGTTTTTTAAAGTTTAATATCTTGCTTTGACTTTGACATTGAAGGCTTACTTTTAGTTGGGCATTTTCTTTGCTCAGAAATATATCCATTGCAATGCAGAAATTTTGTTTTCTTAACAGTCTTTCTTCTTAGCTCAAATTGAACTGCTTAGACTTATATTGACTGTAAAAACTGAAAACTGACTTTTTAATTCTTGATATTATTACCTTTTAATTTTTTTTTACAGATAGCAAAGCTTGCTAATTTGGTGTATAAGACTCAGGGTAAAGATTTCCAGATAATGGCAGGGTCTGCTGGATTCTTGCTGCCAGCTTATCTTGTGGGTTTGTATATCTATGTATTATTTGCATTTGACTCCTGAGTACATAGAGTGAATACTGTGCTTGTGTTAGGTGTTCAGATAGATTTACCAGTACCAGAAAGACTCAGTTGATGAAGTACATGTCTAAAGTGTATGTGTCACATTTCCTCCATACCACAAATGGAAAAGTCATTAAATTTTCAATGTACATGTACTAGTAAAATTACTATTGTTTTAAGTTTTTTGGTCAGCCAATTTAAGGTTTTTTACAGCTTAAAAGTCTTAAGGATTGGATTTGTTTCAAATGAAACAATTATATGTTGGTGTCTTGGTGGGATCTGGAATATAGAATTCTGTGTCTGATACCAATGTATGTTCTATGATGTGTGAATGGGATCTCATACATGAAAAAAAAACCAGTTTGTCTTAGGTTGTATAAATATCTTGTGCACTAGATATGACTGTGTTGAAAGTATTGTAGATGTATATGGAATCAGGAACAATTATGCTTTGTAGGTTGTTTTTTTTTAAAGCTGATAAACTTGTGTTATAGGTTGCAATGTTGGGATCTACAACATCAGTTTCAGTTGTGTGTTATAAGTTGTGTGTGTAGATTCCGATACACTAGATATAACTAAGTTGTAAGCTATGTATGTTTGATCTGATAACCTAATAATTTGTTGTTATGTAGTAGGAATTGGTTGTTAGGTGTGATTGTTTTGTAGGTTGTTTGTATGGGGTTGTAGAGACTAGCAATGATTTGTTGTTATGTAGAATTGGTTGTTAGGGAAAACCCTGTTTTGTAGGTTGGTTGTGTTGTAGAGACTAGCAATGATTTGTTGTTATGTAGTAGGAATTGGTTGTCTGATACTCTGTTTTGTAGGTTGTGTTGGTGGGGTGTGTGGGGCAGCTAACATGCTGGGGCAGGAACTCTGTGATTTAGTATGACTCTGTTTTGTAGGTTGTGTGGGCGGGGTGTGTGGGGCAGCTAACATGCTGGGGCAGGAACTCTGTGATTTAGTATGACTCTGTTTTGTAGGTTGTGTGGGCGGGGTGTGTGGGGAAGCTAAGACATGCTGGGGCAGGAACTCTGTGATTTAGTATGACTCTGTTTTGTAGGTTGTGTGGGCGGGATGTGTGGGGCAGCTAACATGCTGGGGCAGGAACTCTGTGATTTAGTATGACTCTGTTTTGTAGGTTGTGTGGGCGGGGTGTGTGGGGAAGCTAACATGCTGGGGCAGGAACTCTGTGATTTAGTATGACTCTGTTTTGTAGGTTGTGTGGGCGGGGTGTGTGGGGCAGCTAACTTGCTGGGGCAGGAACTCTGTGATGTAGTATGACTCTGTTTTGTAGGTTGTGTGGGCGGGGTGTGTGGGGAAGCTAACATGCTGGGGCAGGAACTCTGTGATTTAGTATGACTCTGTTTTGTAGGTTGTGTGGGCGGGGTGTGTGGGGCAGCTATCATGCTGGGGCAGGAACTCTGTGATTTAGTATGACTCTGTTTTGTAGGTTGTGTGGGCGGGGTGTGTGGGGCAGCTAACATGCTGGGGCAGGAACTCTGTGATTTAGTATGACTCTGTTTTGTAGGTTGTGTGGGCGGGGTGTGTGGGGAAGCTAACATGCTGGGGCAGGAACTCTGTGATTTAGTATGACTCTGTTTTGTAGGTTGTGTGGGCAGGGTGTGTGGGGCAGCTAAGATGCTGGGGCAGGAACTCTGTGATTTAGTATGACTCTGTTTTGTAGGTTGTGTTGGTGAGGTGTGTGGGGCGGCTAACATGCTGAGACAGGAACTCTGTGATTTAGTATGACTCTGTTTTGTAGGTTGTGTTGGTGGGGTGTGTGGGGCTGCCAACATGCTGGGACAGGAACTCTGTGATTTAGCATGACTCTGTTTTGTAGGTTGTGTAGGCGGGGTGTGTGGGGCAGCTAACATGCTGGGACAGGAACTCTGTGATTTAGAGCAGCTGTATAAAGAAGGAAAGATGAAGGCAGCCACAAAATTACAGCAGAGAATTGTTGCTCCCAATGCATGTGTGAGTTAATTTTTTTGATTACCAAAATCACAAAAATTACATCTGATTCAATGGGATAATACTGATAGTATATTCTAGTAATTATGTAGACACTAGCTTGAATTTTCCTTTGCTTTTTTATGAAGAATTTAAGGAAACTCAGATGTAACAATAATTTTAATCGCTATAAAAATACCTCCATTTGTGGTAAAAACTGCGTATTTCTAAGGAAAGTGGTACATATATAATACAGAGCTTTGCTCTATAAAGCTCTTTTTATTAGCTCACCTGAGCCGAAGGCTCAAGTGAGCTTTTCTGATCAAAATTTGTCCGTTGTCTGTCGTCGTTGTCGTTGTTGTCGTTGTTGTCGTCGTAAACTTTTCACATTTTCATCTTCTTCTCAAGAACCACTGGGCCAATTTCAACCAAACTTGGCACAAAGTATCCTTGGGTGAAGGGGATTCAGGTTTGTTCAAATGAAGGGCCACGCCCTTTTCCAAGGGGAGATAATCATGAATTTGTTAAAATTAATGGCATTTTTAAAAAATCTTCTTCTCCAGAACCGCTGGGCCAGGAAAGATGAAACTCATGTGGAAGCATCCTCAGGTAGTGTAGATTCAAGTTTGTTCAAATCATGACCCCCGGGGCAAGGGTGGGGCCAAAATGGCCGATCCAAGTTTTACATAGGAATATATAGGAAAAATCCTTAAAAATCTTCTTCTCAAAAACCACTGGGCCAGGAAAGATGAAACTCATGTGGAATCATCCTGAGGTAGTGTAGATTCAAATTTGTACAATTGATGACCCCCGGGGCAAGGGTGGGACCAAAATGGCCGATCCAAGTTTTACATAGGAATATATAGGAAAAATCTTTAAAAATCTTCTTCTCAAGAACCACTGGGCCAGGAAAGATGAAACTCATGTGGAATCATCCTGAGGTAGTGTAGATTCAAATTTGTTCAATTGATGACCCCCGGGGCAAGGGTGGGGCCAAAATGGCCGACCCTACTTTTACATAGGAATATATAGGAAAAATCTTTAAAAAATCTTCTTCTCCAGAACAACTTGGCCAGGAAAGATGAAACTCATGTGGAATCATCCTGAGGTAGTGTAAATTCAAATTTGTTCAATTGATGACCCCCGGGGCAAGGGTGGGGCCAAAATGGCCGACCCTACTTTTACATAGGAATATATAGGAAAAATCTTTAAAAAATCTTATTCTCCAGAACCACGAGGCCAGGAAAGATGAAACTCATGTGGAATCATCTTCATGTAGTGTAGATTCAAGTTTGTTCAAATCATGTCCCCCGGGGCAAGGGTGGGGCCAAAATGGCCGACCCTAGTTTTACATAGGGATATATTGGGAAACCAATATATTTAAAATCTTCTTTTCAAGTACTTCAAAGCCATGATTAGTGATATTTATATGGAATCATCCTAAGGTAGTGTAGATTCTAGTTGAAATCATGAACCCCTAGGGGTTAAAATTCAAGCCCCCCCTCTCCCCCCACCATCACCTCAGTAAACTTTCAGTTCTGATCTGATATGTACAAATTGTACAAATCATGACCCCCGGGGCAAGGGTGGGGCCAAAATGGCCGACCCAAGTTTTACATAGGAATATATAGGAAAAATCTTTAAAAATCTTCTTCTACAGAACCACTGGGCCAGGAAAGATGAAACTCATGTGGAAGCATCCTTAGGTAGTGTAGATTCAAGTTTGTTCAAATCATGACCCCCGGGGCAAAGATGGGGCCAAAATGGCCGACCCTAGTTTTACATAGGAATATAGAAGAAAAATCTTTAAAAATCTTCTTCTCAAGAACCACTAGGACAGGAAAGATAAAACTCATGTGGAATCATCTTCAGGTAGTGTAGATTCAAGTTTGTTCAAATCATGACCCCTGGGGCAAGGGTGGGGCCAAAATGGCCGACCCAAGTTTTTCATAGGAATATATAGGAAAAATCTTTAAAAATCTTCTCCTCCAGAACCACTGGGCCAGGAAAGATGAAACTCATGTGGAATCATCCTCAGGTAGTGTAGATTCAAATTTGTTCAAATCATGACCCCCGGCCCTGGGGATAGGGTGGGGCCAAAATGGCCGACCCAAGTTTTACATAGGAATATATAGGAAAAATCTTTAAAAAATCTTCTTCTCCAGAACCACTGGGCCAGGAAAGATGAAACTCATGTGGAATCATCCTCAGGTAGTGTAGATTCAAGTTTGTTCAAATCATGACCCCTGGGGCAAGGATGGGGCCAAAATGGCTGACCCTAGTTTTACATAGGAATATATAGGAAAAATCTTTAAAAAATCTTCTTCTCCAGAACCACTGGGCCAGGAAAGATGAAACTCATGTGGAATCATCCTCAGGTAGTGTAGATTCAAGTTTGTTCAAATCATGACCCCTGGGGCAAGGATGGGGCCAAAATGGCTGACCCTAGTTTTACATAGGAATATATAAGAAAAATCTTTAAAAATCTTCTTCTCCAGAACCACTGGGCCAGGAAAGATGAAACTCATGTGGAATCATCCTTAGGTAGTGTAGATTCAAGTTTGTTCAAATCATGACCCCCGGGGCAAGGATGGGGCCAAAATGGCTGACCCAAGTTTTACATAGGAATATATAGGAAATATTTTTAAAAATCCTTCTCAATTACCACTGGGCCAGGAAAGATGAAACTCATGTGGAATCATCCTCAGGTAGTGTAGATTCAAGTTTTTTCAAATCATGACCCCCGTCCCTGGGGATAGGGTGGGGCCAAAATGGCCGACCCAAGTTTTACATACGGATATATAGGGAAACCTTTTAAAATCTTCTTTTCAAGTACTTCAAAGCTATGATTAGTGATACCCGGGGTGTTTATATGGAATCATCCTCAGGTAGTGTAGATTCTAGTTTGTTCAAATGATGAACGCCTGGAAGGGGGGGGGGGAGTAAATTCAAGCCCGATGTGCTCAGGTGAGCGCTGTGGCCCCTGGGCCTCTTGTTTGCTTTAATGCCATTTTTGAAGAAAAAATTATTGTATTGTCTACACTGAATGGTGGAATATTAAATTGTAAGGAATACATTTAATAACTTGGTATAACATACGTTGGAACAGTTTACACTCTTTTATAAACGGCCTCATAGTTTAAAAAGCAAAAATGCCACAACCTATGTTATACATAATATCTCAGGTAGCTATTAAATTTATTCCTTAAATAGCAAATAAGATGCATAAGATATCTATTAAGGTGATATTTTTGCTTAAAAAGGTGATTGCAAGTTTTTTTCTATGCTTAGCATCCACATAGGAGTCCTGATATTGATGATTGTAGTAAAAATATTTAAAATTCTGTTGTTTTCTCTTATGATCTGTCCACAATATTTAATGTTATTAATTATACCCCCACTCCGAAGGAAGGGGGGTATAATGTTTTACCCTTGTGTGTCTGTCTGTCTGTCTGTTTGTCCGTCCGAAACAAATTTTTGTCGCAGTTTTCTCAGCATTTACTCATCATAGATGCTTGAAATTTTAACACAGTCTTCTCTGAGGCATGCCATACATTGGGGTACATTTTTGTTAAAATCTTATGTCAACTTCCTGTTTGTTTGTGCATTGTTCGTTTCATACATAAAAAATTTCGTCGCAGTTTTCTCAGCAACTACTCATCATAGATGCTTGAAATTTTAACACTATCCTCTCTGAGGCATGCCATATGGTGGGATACATTTTTGTTAAAATCTTATGTCAACTTTCTGTTTGTCTGTGCGTCTGTCCGTTTCATATGTGACAAATCTTCGTCGCAGTTTTCTCATTAGCTATTCATAGCAGATTTTTGAAATTTTATTACTCTCTTTGTTGAGGCATGCCATATGGTGGGATATTTGATATGAATCTGACGTCAACTTCATATTTTTCTGTGCATCTGCCTGTAATTGAACTTGTGTATATCAACATGATAGTGCTTATTTACGTCAGAGCGGGGGTATTGCTAGTGAGCATTGGCTCACAGATTTCTTGTTTTATATCAAAAGCATTTAAGGAGGAATGCCACACCAACTTTTTGTTTTATAAATAGATCTCTGAGTCAACCTTTTTAAACAATGGTTTCAGCACTGAAAGGCTGACGTTTGCTCTAAATTATTTTATATTAATTTTTATGTATTTTTTCAAAGAAATAAAAAAAATTATTTACGTCCAAATTAGCTGCTTTCTTGTAAAAATTTTGCTGTATTAATGAAGGCATCACATGAATACCTAATAAAATATGTAAAGAAAAGCTGTATAGATATTCAAAATTTTTAAATAAAAAAATATTTGTGAAAATGACACATAATTTGTGAATATTTTTTAATTTCAAATCTATGAAATCTGAAAACAACTGAGTCAATTGATTCAAAATTTTGCAAAGGAAGTTAAAATAGAGAGATGATGTAAATAGAACCTACTTGTTTAACCTGATGTGAAGGCATACTCAAAATAAATCTGAAATCTCCAACATCCTTTCACAGACACAAACTTAGTTTCAAATTCTTGTTGCTCATCTCTGCAGAGACAAACTTTCTGATTGGTTACCTTGAATACCCATAATGCTCCTTGAGAGAAGTCTAGTATATGGTAAAAATTCTACGTCCACACTTATTTTTGCTCATACCATGCTGATCTTCACTTATAAGTGAGGTATAAGTGAAATATTCAATGATATGTAGCTCATCTTTACTTATAAGTGAAGTACGAAATCCGTTCCTCACTTATACTTACTTTGATTATAGTACACTTATTAGTAAATTTCAAAATTTATAAGTGACTTATAAATTGCTAATAAGTGGATTATAAAACACTTATAAGTTTCTATTAGTTTTTTCTGTAAGGGTTAATGTCTTGATTTTGCTAAGGAATACTAGTATATGACTATATCTTTCTATGAGAAAATATATTTATGAAATCAAATTCTTTGAATGATGTTATTTTTATGACTATTGATATATCTATCAATAGTTTAATTTATGTATTTTTTGGGAATAGGTAGGTAGGTTTTTTGAATGATAGATGGATGCTAAACAGAGAAAAAAACTTAGGATGACATAACACCACCTCTTACACAATGGCAATGACAATATTCATCTTTGAGGTTTCTGCTCTCATTGTTTGATATACAGTGTGTTGGTGAGCAATTTTAATTTGAGTTGGGATGCTTACTCCTCCATGGGACCAGATCCCATCTCAGATATTTTCAGAGATCCATGCTCTTTTCATAATTTGTATTGTTTAATTTTAGACTTATGATAATGATTAATGTTCATTATCTTTACATTAAATTTTCATTGATATGAGTCTTAAAGAAAATATGAACAATGAAAGAATCATAAAATTGAGATGCAATTTGATCAATAGCTTTCATAAGGAGAATGTAATTTGTAAGTAGGAGGACAGTTACCTTGTAAATGGTAAATGTTTTATTACAATGATTATGACATATTTAGTTTAATAAAATTACCCCATGCATACATTTTCTGGGAAAATATTTTTTCTTCGATGATTCTTCACCAGTGCATGGACAACATCAAAGCATTTATACCCTATTATGTTTCTGATATTGAAATGGAAATTTTTAGGTAACCAAGAGGTTTGGTGTACCAGGTCTGAAGGTTGCCATGGAGTGGTTTGGTTACTATGGAGGCCCAGTAAGGTCACCATTACAGCCAATCACAACAGAGCAGGAAGAAATCATGAGGACTGTGTTCAAATCCTCAGGGTTCCTCACCTGAGATATTATTGTGATTATTGTAATATATTAATTAAAGTAGGCTATTGGCTGAAGTATATACTTTTTATAATTGGAACGGCTGATATACAAATTTGTGACTGGAGACATTAAAACATGTTATCTAATACAGTTGAACATGACAGTATCTTGATTTGAATATCAATATATCTTGAAATGAGTTGGAGGATTCAGCTTTTAATGTTCCTGGGATCCCCGTCCGAGCTAACAAGGCTTGAATCATGTATATTCTGTAATCAGTATCTATTTTTTTGATGTTTGTATAAGATGTCGAAAGAGATAATATCTCATCTGAAAATATATTTTATCAAAATAAAATCACCATGTATTGTTTTTTTTCTTTCTCTCTAGATTAATTTCGTTGCTCTGTTTTTATGTCAATGAGCTTCCATTTTTTTTGAGAGAGATACGGGCTGGTTTAGTTCAGCTTAATTTCTTTCAGACACCTTTTACTTATGCTCAATATAACTGCAGACAAATTAAACGATTGCATTGATCGTGTATATTGATACTACACATAGAAGTTTTCAAAGTTTGATGAACCGAAAAGTTAATATGACCCGTAAAAGGGCACCTTTTATGCGTCTTCAATCCTTTTAATTCTGTTGTTGGACCTCACTTAAAATGGATGATTACTCAGCAGAAGAGCGAAATTTCCTTATTTTGATCCAAGCTTTGAAATATTCCACTGTTGGTCTTAAAACTCATGTTGACCACTGTATGGACAATGCATACAAACGTTTGAAGAGAAAGCTAAGCTCAACAACTGTCTGTACTCAGTCGTGTAGCAAACATTTTACCGACAGGAAACAGTGGTGCAGGACTTGTGTTCAGTGGAAAGATGAAATAGAAAAATTGATGCGGTTCCCCTCACATAGAAACAGAGTGAAATGGCAGGACATTGACGTATCTTTACTGTCGGGGAATGACCCTGCGAAGGCGAGGGTAGAACTGTGTCGTATATATGTCCGTGACGCGGGAACTTTCAAATATGACATTCAGACAATGCTTTCTATATTACAGAACTGTAGATATTTTTTGGTGGGAGATAACATAAGACTTCTTGAGTCTGTTCGTAAAGTGAGAAATATTGACTTTGCTCACACAGAGGACTTTGTAATATCTAAAAGAAGACTGAAAAAATCGATCCGTACTTTAATACATTTCTTTCAACACCCTTCTCACAAAACTTATGAATGGGCTTTAATAACTGTGAATAAGTTAAAAGCATTAGAGGCAAATGAAAACCAAAGTTTGGTGGACATTGAAGCATGTCGCGTTTTTGAAAGTATAACAGACATTTGTATTGCAGACGTCGATGAGTTTTTATCCATTCCTGAACCTGAAACTAGGATAAGAAGTTTTCCAAAACGAAACTTATTGCTGATCGGACTCTCTCTGACTATACTGGTTATTGCTTTCATAATAAGAAACTTTGGTGGTTTGGAAGAAAAGGGTAAGCTTATCATGATATTATGTGCAGATATTAAAAAAAAAAAAACACCAACAACAACAAAACATAATATACTGACCCCCCCCTCCCCCCAAATTAAAATGATTAAAAATATATTGAGTCTAATTAAATAGTCATTTAAATGACGACATTGTTAAGACACGTTTGATGTTATTTTAATTATTAATTTGTTATATTTAGTAGACTTAAATTGAAGAGTTTTATATAACTTCTTATGTAAAGTATAAATGTTTATAAAAGATTCATTCTCACAGCGTCAGGGGTCCTGAGTCAACACGACTTTGGATCCCGGGGTCCAACTGCCAGACTCAGAACCCTTGATGTTGTGAGGATGTAATAGATTATAATCCTAACAGTAGGCCCATGGACCCAAACTCCAACATGAGACGTACTGGAAATACATGAAACTTTTCGGAAGATATTTCAAGGACGCATTATCAATTAACAATGGTAACTTCTATTCTTATGTCGATGCGATATATCCTGGTGAGCTTGAGATAAAAGATGCCACAGTCTGACACATCTGTTTCATATTTGGATATTTTGCTTGAAAAAGAATAGTAATCTAACAACCAAGTTCTATGATAAACGTGATGACTATATACCATCATCATCTGCATATGGAGTTTATATATCTCAGTTGATTCGATACGCAAGAGCATGCTCTACGTATGAACAATTTCTAAAACGAGGTAAATTATTGACAAGCAAGTTGATGAAACAAGAATATCAGCAGTCTCCTTTAAAGTCATAATTTCGTAAGTTCTATGGTCGATACAATGACCTCGTCAACAAATACGTTTATCATTGAGTCAAATACTGATTGACGTTTTAGTGACCTATTTTAATATCTGTATTCATTGGAAGCAGAATTTTTCTAAATCTTATAACAATGAACTAACAATTTGTATGAAAAACGTCAGTCAGCATTTGACTCTGATAAATTGTTTTTATTAACAAGGTCCATGTATCGACCATAGAATTTACAATATGATGACTTTAAACGAGAATGTTGATATTCTTGTTTCGTCAACTTGTTTGTCAATAGCTTACCTCGTTTAAAACTTGTACGTACGTAGAGCATGTTCTTGCGTATCGAATCAACTGATATATATATATATATATATATAAACTCTGTATGGAGTTGATGAAGGTATTGCTACATCTTTTGGTTAGAGACGTTGACGATAGAAAAGTTAGAGTCATCACGTTTATCATAGAGCTTTGCTGTTAGATTATCATTAAAGCTGAACACGACTCGTAAATAGGCATACGCCATTTTCGATATCATTATCTACACTACATCAACACCAGGGAATACACTTCAGATTCGTCACACCTGAATGCTTTAAGGTCACTGGTATCGGCGTGGAATGGCGACCCATGTTTGTGCTGGTTATCTTGCATTACCTTGTTTACATTTTATTGCAGTTACGTGTATCTGTGTTTGTTTGTGTACTGCACTGACCTGTTCAACTATAATTTTATATAACTTTCCTGCATTAGACGAAGTATTACGTTTTTATTGTCTCTACCGAGTGCAGCTGCTGTATAGCATACGTCCGTCTATACCGTTGTTGACTGAATACACTTAACAGTGACTAAGTCCTGCCCTTTATATAGGGGTCTACAGGTATAGCAGTTCTCGGAACAAAAATGGCGGACACATTTCTTTTATGATTTCTGTTCAGCTTTTACATCTTTTTAAAGTAAAATATCCAAAAATGAAACAGGTGTGTCAGACTGTATGATATCATTTATCTCATGCTCACCGGGATACTAGTATATTGTATCGATATAAGAATGGAAATATTCACTGTTATTTGACGATGCGTCGTGGATATATGTAAATGTCGAGTTGAAGGCCATAACAAGTGTTTTCTTCTTTTCACGTATAAGATTGGGAAAAATTCTGCTTCATATAAATACAGATATTAAAATAGGTCTACTTATAACGGGGCGCAAGTGGTACCCATAGGAATTCCAATAGATTTATGGAAAACCTGGTCTCAAAAATTCATATAGATATTGTCAACCGGAAACTCAAGCATTTTTTTTATGTCAACCTCAGAGTACTTGTGTGTACAATCAGAATAATTTTTAACAAAATAATTTTGCAAATGACCAAAGACCAATGGCAAGATAAGTAAATTCCAATTTTTATTGAAAAAGTAGCTGTCGATGGTATCAAAAAGCCTGGACTTTAATATATCGTGGGGAATGGTTGTGTGTAAAGTTAAACAGTCGTACGTTTTATTTCAAGCTGTTGATTTTGGTAGAATCTTGTGATTTCATATTTTTCAAATATTCCTTGGAATTTTTAAAATCCACATCTGATTTATACCAATTCTCGAAAACAGAAATACTGTATATTGTTGCACAGTACTCTTGAAGTTTCTCCTTCGCTACTGTTAACATCTTAATGAGGAGTAAAGAAAGAGGCTTGGTTGAACATTTACTGGAACTCGCTATGTATCTTTATAAGGATTGGATTTTTATGAAGTTTCGGAATCCAGATATAGTAATTCAAATTCATTTTCGTTGTTTGGAATTTTAAAAATATTCAAAACTGACATGTGGTTTTAAAGAATATCTTCCTTAGAAAAGGAACTATGAGTATAAGCTGGTTTACCACTTGTAGAATTAAATATAAGTTCTTTTACTTCATACTTGGACATTTTACTTGAAAAAGACGTTCATGGTAATCAAACAACCAAGCTCTATGATAAACTTGATGACTTTAACTTTTCTATCGTCAACTTCCCTTACTTATGCAGCATTATACTTTCATCACCTGCATATGGAGTTTATATATCTCAGTTGATTCGATACACAAGAGCATGCTCTACGTATGAATAGTTTCTAAAACGACGTAAGTTATTTACAGACAAGTTGATGAAACAAGAATATCAGTATGCAGTCTCGTTTAAAGTCATCATATTCGAATAGGTAATATCACTTTTTGGCAGTAAATACCAAAACGGCGCCTTTTAATTTAATTCTTTTCTCACTTCTGGATTATCGAATAAAGAAGGATAGATGGTTTACATATGGCCCCATAATCTTTTAATACGCGATTGTAACATAGATTTGATACGTTTAATCCATTCTGACATAGTGTTAAAGCCTTTTTAGCTCACCTGAGCCGAAGGCTCAAGTGAGCTTTTCTGATCACATTTTGTCCGGCGTCCGTCTGTCCGTCTGTCTGTCTGTAAACTTTTCACATTTTCGACTTCTTCTCAAGAACCGCTGGGCCAATTTCAATCAAACTTGCCACAAAGTATCCTTGGGTGAAGGGGATTCAAGTTTGTTCAAATGAAGGGCCACGCCCTCATTCAAGGGGAGATAATTGGGAATTAATGAAAATTTGGTAGCATCTTTTAAAAATCTTCTTCTCAAGAACCACAGTGCCAGGAAAGATGAAACTTATGGGGAAACATCCTCAGGTAGTGTAGATTCAAGTTTGTTCAAATCATGACCCCCAGGGGTAGGGCGGGGCCAAAATGGCCGACCTAAATTTTACATAGAAATATATAGAAAAAATCTTTAAAAATCTTCTTCTCAAGAACAACAAAGCCATAATTGATGATATTTATATGGAAGCATCCTCGGGTAGTGTAGATTCAAGTTTGTTCAAATCATGACCCCCAGGGGTAGGGTGGGGCCAAAATGGCCGACCAAAGTTTTACATAAAAATATATAGGAAATTTCTTTAAAAATCTTCTCCTCAAGAACAACAAGGCCATAATTGATCATATTTATATGGAAGCATCCTCAGGTAGTGTAGATTCAAGTTTGTTCAAATCATGACCCCCAGGGGTAGGGCGGGGCCAAAATGGCCGACCAAAGTTTTACATAGAGATATATAGGAAAATTCTTTAAAAATCTTCTTCTCAAGAATGACAAAGCCATAATTCATCAAATTTATATGGAAGCATCCTCAGGTAGTGTAGATTCAAGTTTGTTCAAATCATGACCCCCAGGGTTAGGGCGGGGCCAAAATGGCCGACCAAAGTTTTACATAGAAATATATAGGAAAATTCTTTAAAAATCTTCTCCTCAAGAATAGCAAAGCCATAATTGATCATATTTATATGGAAGCATCCTCAGGTAGTGTAGATTCAAGTTTGTTCAAATTATGACCCCCAGGGGTAGGGAGGGGCCAAAACGGCCGACCAAAGTTTTACATAGAAATGTATAGGAACATTCTTTAAAAATCTTCTCAAGAATAGCAAAGCCAGGATTGGTCATGGGACTACTTTTGGATTTAAGCTTTTCAAGTATAAACCAATTCTGCTTTTTCCTAGCCACAGTGCTCAGGTGAGCGATGTGGCCCATGGGCCTCTTGTTTTTCATATCTTTCCCCTCGCCTGGTGTTAACTTCTACAGAGTTCATAATATTTATAAAATACCGACGCCAGTTGGAGGATTGACGTTCCCTATTTAAGGACCTTTTAAAATTACTGATTTAATGTCTTCACCATTAACTGATTTAAGGTCCTCATTATTAACTAATGTCTTCTTTTTCATATCTGGCCCATCGCCTGGCGTTACACTCTACAGAGTACATAATATTTCTGAAATACCGACCCAAGTTGGAGGATCGGCGTACCCTACTTATAAGACCTTTTAAAATTACTGATTTAATGTCTTCATCATTAACTACGAGGGCTGTTCAATAAATAATGTCCTCGGTGCTCGGAAAGAAGCAAAAGACGCTTTTGAATGATTTAGTCTTCATGATTTTACTTATTAATCTTTTTTAATTAAAACACATGTCTAACATTTTTTATCCAATTTCTTATTATGGCTTACGAAGCCATATAGTTCCCGGTGTATCTTTACGGCAAAGAGTTCACTATAACACTGCGACATTTAAGTCCGGACACGACAAAGTCCGGACTTTTAGGTACCCTTTCGAAAAGACCTACATTAG